ACGTTTTTTAATCGCCTTTAAAGTGATTTTTGTCCTTGTCCGACGTTATGCTAATTCTTCCAAATTAATGCCCACCATACATACCTCCATGGCTAGTACATTTCAATGTGAATATTGTCAATGTTTTACGTTCAAAATATGCAAAACAGTGAATGTTGTAACGCGGGTTTTTGGCCGGTTCGTACGCTAGGTTTCTCTTGAAATTTCAAGATGTTGCAGTGAATCAAACTTGATGAAAGTTTCATGCAATGTTATATACATCATGAAGATTATGTGATGAGGTTTAAAAAGAATTCTGTCGAGCCATTATAGAGATAATACAGAAAAGCGCTAAAAGCCAAAATTTTGAGTAAAGTTGCACTTAGATAGGTGGTGAGAAAACAGGTTGTTAGTTTTCAGGATCGCAAGAAAGAAAATACACCAAAATTTCCCAGCATCGGAAAATATTAAGCAGCCTTCTAACGCTACTTAAGATTAATGTGAGTTATTTAGAACTTTTTTATTAAACATTTTATCACGGCTATTGAAAATATAAGGTTGGAAATATATTTGCGTTTTATTTGGATTCAAAGATACAGAATTTTTAACTTTTCGCGGAGGTTCTTTACTAAACACCACACTTCAAGTTCCTGGCGTAGGGATTTTCAGAAGCAGGTCTGTCCTGAAATTCATCCGATTGCTTCGAGTCGTTTTCTTCTCTCTGAGGGAGTAATAACGACTCAAAGTAATCGGATGAAATTCAGGCTAAAGCCCGGGGCTAAAGCAGGTCTAGATCGCGCAAAATTCGGATTTCAGTATCGATTTCATTTGTTTTTTTTTTATAGCGATATCAAGTTTACTAAAAACTGTATTTTGACAAACTTCAATTCATAGTCAATCACTGGTGAAACTTCGTAGCAATCGAAGAAGAATGAAATCACTTTTTAACTGGGTGACTGAAATTCAAAAACATCGGTATGGTCTCCCAAAAACTATATCGAAACACCTTATCTCACCGCCGTGTCCCAGAGAAGATATTCACTGCTTGTCATATTTCACGTACCTGTAGTAATTTGTAGAAAAGAGGGCATAGTAGCATTATAGTGGTAACGATGAAGCCAGTTGCAATGGAACCAGACATACTAACGTCATGCGCCATTTTCCACCGTGCTTTGAGTGCATATATGGTTCGAGCTAGAAGTTAAAATACGCTTTCTCTAATTTTCTTTCACTTTACGTAATGACAGAATAAATGCTCACGAGAAAATCACGAGATTCCGAAATATGGAAAGTTCCAACGAAGGCAACTCCTTTTCCTGGAATAAGCGGAATAAAATACTTTACCCCCTGGTTGTGTGAGTTATTAAGCTTAATGTGTAAAAATAAATTTCCGTATCAGTTTAATTGTTGACCTTGAGAGATTATCGCCCAGGCCCACCAAGCAACAACAAAAACAGCAACAACAGCAGTTTTTTATCAATCCTGTTAGAACCATTTTAANGTTTTCTTCTCTCTGAGGGAGTAATAACGACTCAAAGTAATCGGATGAAATTCAGGCTAAAGCCCGGGGCTAAAGCAGGTCTAGATCGCGCAAAATTCGGATTTCAGTATCGATTTCATTTGTTTTTTTTTTATAGCGATATCAAGTTTACTAAAAACTGTATTTTGACAAACTTCAATTCATAGTCAATCACTGGTGAAACTTCGTAGCAATCGAAGAAGAATGAAATCACTTTTTAACTGGGTGACTGAAATTCAAAAACATCGGTATGGTCTCCCAAAAACTATATCGAAACACCTTATCTCACCGCCGTGTCCCAGAGAAGATATTCACTGCTTGTCATATTTCACGTACCTGTAGTAATTTGTAGAAAAGAGGGCATAGTAGCATTATAGTGGTAACGATGAAGCCAGTTGCAATGGAACCAGACATACTAACGTCATGCGCCATTTTCCACCGTGCTTTGAGTGCATATATGGTTCGAGCTAGAAGTTAAAATACGCTTTCTCTAATTTTCTTTCACTTTACGTAATGACAGAATAAATGCTCACGAGAAAATCACGAGATTCCGAAATATGGAAAGTTCCAACGAAGGCAACTCCTTTTCCTGGAATAAGCGGAATAAAATACTTTACCCCCTGGTTGTGTGAGTTATTAAGCTTAATGTGTAAAAATAAATTTCCGTATCAGTTTAATTGTTGACCTTGAGAGATTATCGCCCAGGCCCACCAAGCAACAACAAAAACAGCAACAACAGCAGTTTTTTATCAATCCTGTTAGAACCATTTTAAATAATCGTCTCCCCGGCTCAATTATTTAATCAACATCCCTCGAATAATCGTTTCCTTTAAAATGGCGGCGGAGAAAGAAATCATCGTCGGCTATTCGTTCACGAAATAAACATGACGAAATATGCTAATGACGTAAACACGCTGGATCAAGTCACACAAACACAAAGAGACCGCGTAAGTAATATACCTCAAAACTTTCAGTTTTAATATGATCTAATTCTCTTTGTAAACAGGAAACCATTCAGAGATCGCGTCAACAAAAAAATCGGTACATGATGACAAATGAAGTCATATGATTTCTTGGAAGAGAAAAAAAAAATATTAGACGAGTGTCAGGGGTGCTGATTTAAGATGTACATGTATTGCCTGCAAAAGTTGACGTGGGACATTTTAAACTAGACCTGGTTCGAGGCAACATGCCTCAGTCTGAAGCTTCTCAAGCTGTTCTGAATGGGAAAAAATTCCTCCGCGATAGAAGAACATTAATTCTAGGCTTAAGTCCCGGTAATCCGTACTACTATAGCTTGGATGTTTTGGAACGTCTCTTTGGTTTTGCAAGGCAGAACTCGGAGAAGGTAGGGTAACGCCTTTCACTCTTCCTTAACTTTCCTAAATTGATATGCTTGTTTTCCTGGATAGGCGTCTGTTGTTCGCACGCGCACTCTTGCAGCTCTAACACTGAGTTTGTTCTCGTCAGGTGTTATTGTTCATCCCTGACAAGATATCTGAACATAACTTCAGAGCTGTCGGATCCAAAAACCCGGAGAAATCAGCTCGTATCAAAGCCAACCGCCTAAGGAACAAATGCAATGAAGCTGTCAGAAATAGCGGCCTTTGCCATACTTCGCATAGTTACATTAGATGGACAGAGGAGGTGGAAACATGTCCAAAATTCTTTGAAGCCTACAGTTATATCCAAGAACTGTACCAAACAAATGAAGTTTTCCGAACGGATATTTCACAGTCCACGGAAGAAGCTTTGAGAAGCTTAAAAAACGGGCGAGAAAAGTCGGGAGAGGGATTTAACAAAGAGAACGAAACCGAAGATGTACTTGACTTAGAAGAAGGAGAGAAATATTTGTTAAAAGAACTTGCCTTTCTGGCAGCGGTACCTAATATTTATGAAAATTGTGAAGAATTTGTTTTCGTGTATCACCGTTCATGGCCGGTTCTAGAGAAGTTCTTTGAAGGCCATTACGATGATATTGTGAAACCTTCTTTAGGTTTTGTTATCAGTGACTGGTAATATTAGCCTTAATTAATTTGTCAGGAGCCTTTTTGTAGTTAATTGTTTCCCATGATTTATTTCCAATGAAAGCTGCTTCTCCGATGAGTTTTATTATTCCTTTCTTCGCGATCCTTACCGGTACCTATTCACACGTGTGTCAGGACTGGTAAAACAAACACAAGTTTTACTTTTCGAGATTTTGGTAGCAATTTCACTGGTCTGTTTATTGTTTTATTTCCGAAATATGGTTTGTTCAGTTCTGGCTGAAAAAAAAAAATAAACTCAGTTGTTCATTAATGGTTGTACTCATGTCTTCTATAGCGAGTTAAACTGAGCTTAAAGAAAGCTGCCGATTTTACTAACACCCACTCAGTTTCCGTGTGTTATTTAAATAAGCAACTGTGAAGTCAAAACAGACTGCAAAACAGGTCGGTTTCAACTAATATTTCCAACTCTTCATTCGCTTTCCGAGAATTATTGCATTACAAATTTCCAAGTGACCTATTTGATCTTTTCGTTTGTTGCGTAAATTAAGACTCGGTTTAAAGGAGGGGGGCATTGGGATTTTCGGTTTTGCGGTTTTGGCTATTTTTTAGATCGGTTTTTCGGTTTTAGTTGCAAAAGACTTCGGTTTTTCGGTTTTGGTGGTCATTGCGGTTTGCGGATTTCTCGTTTTTTAGCATCTGGTTTTCGGTTTTCGTGAAAAATACTAGCGGTTTTTCGGTTTTGGTACCCGATGTGGTTTTTGGTTTTTCCTATTTTGTCCTATTTTGGGTTCCGGTTTCTGCTCGATTTGAGCAGCACCTGATCTCGAATAGCCGCGAAACGCCAAAGTTATTTAGAGGAATGCGTTACAAAATAAATGTCATGGTAGGGGATCAAGCGTCTCCCTTGACGCCCGGCGAGACTTTGACCTCGCAGACCAGGGCGACCATTTGGTCAGTTTGCGAGCTATGGCTTCCAACGTGCCTCCCGCACCGGAACGAAACAGAAAAAGCAATTGTAGATTGTGTTGCGTTTTTTTACGACTGCTGTTTTTAGTATCTGTTTATTACCACATTAAACTTTAGAGCAAGTTCCTGCTGCCATGTAAACAATGTGTAAAACTGAAAAGGAACTAATTGTACCGGTTAGCTTCCTCAGTGTCGACTCAGCTCAGTTCAATCGCATGTTAGACAATCGAGTCTCCAAACTTTCAGGTGTTAGTTATCAAATGGAAATGTTCGATTAGAGATTTTCGATTGAAGTTTCCAGAGCTATAGCTTTTTGCGACTGCAAAATTGCAATTCTAAAGAGGACTTGTGTGCAAATTCTCCTAAGTTAACTAGGCTCAATAACTAGCGGCTTTTCGGAAATTGAGCCGCAAAGTCTGGGCTCGAGAGAGCGGCAGAAACAAAGCCTATTATTTAAGCAGACACACAAAGATACGAAGGCTTCAGACGAAGTCCATGACATTCACAAATACTTTGGTGAAATTAGTGTTAGTTTAGTTTGCTCTGTATGCCCCACTTGTCACCATTGTATCGGTTTTTGACGGTGTTGTATGCGGTTTTCGGTTTTGGCCGAATTTTTTTGCGGTTTTGCGGTTTTGGATGATTTTTTTTCTTCGGTTTTGCGGTTTCTAATATACCCCAATGCCCCCCTCTTTAAACGCCGAACTTAAATAGCCTGCGAGAGCATCCAGTTTTTTCGGCTCAAGTTTTTAGAAGCTGAGCTATGGGAAAACTATCCACAATGAGCACAATGCGTGCTGGTCTAGTTCATCTTTCAACGAATTTAAAATACCTCCCCCCTTAAAATAACGAATGAATGGACCGTTCTCTAAGGGAATTTTCCCGGCGCTGGATGATCTAATTAACAAACTATTCTGGAACCGGATTTTTGTAATAAATGGATACAATAACTTTTTCCAAGAAGAAATGAAGTTCCGGTCACGAGCAAGTCTTGTGACGTCTGCACGTCCTGTATAAACAGGTTTGTTTTGTGGGCATGAAACTGACCATTTAGCCGTACTAGCTACTCGTGATCAAACCTTCCTCTTGGCTTAGAAGCCTCTTCGTCCCTAAGAAGATGTCAATTCCATGGAAACTATACCTTACTTGTTGGTTTCTTGGGGCTTCCGTCCAAAGTGCTGTGTTTTTTAGCTTCAATGCTGTAGATTATTTCAATTTTTTCTTTCCTGAGAACTACAAACCAGAAGTCTACATTGGTGTGACCGTGGGAGTAGGAGCGACACTGGGTGCGATCTTAACAGTGACATTCCAACCCAAATCAACTCACTTGACAGTACTGCTCATCACACAGATCATCTCAGCGCTTTTACTGGTCGCAGAAGTGGTTATTGTCCCTCTTGACCACGGCGTAATATCGACACCTGCACGGTTTGGAGTTATCCTCGCTGTGATATTAGCAGCAACAGTTGTTCAAAATGTCGGCGGAGGTGCGCTGTACAGTTTTGTTGGAAAGCATTTCCCGAAATTTGGCATCCACGCTGCTCAGTCTGGTGGTGTCTGCGCATTCGCAGCAACTTTTGTGATCCGTTGTATTTCCAAGGGCTCGTTTGAGCACCTCAAAGACAGGGATCGTGGTTTTCGTCTCAGTGGTTTCCTGTTTGTCGCTTTGGTGGACCTTATCATTCTCGTAGCGTGCTGTTTACTCCCTATACTGCGTACACACGTGAAAGCTGTTATCGAGGGACCGTTGAACGCCATGGAAACCACCCCACTGTTAAGGAGCACTGAATTCACACACACTTCACGTACAGTGGTCATGCGAAAAAACTGGGCGGTCCTCACTACAATTTGCCTAACGCTTGTCATATCCAATTCCTTGTTTCCTGGCATCACATCGCAGTTTCACGGGAACTACAACTGCTCGCGTTCAAGGCAACATGCTTATGGCATATCTTCAGCCAACACACTCGACACGACAGAAACTGCGCCAACCACCAACCCTGATCCGAAGTTAAGTGACAAGACTGGATGGTTTGTAGTAATCCTGTTCGGCTGTTATTCAGTGGCAGATGCAATAGGCAAAAATTTACCTATATTTGGAATAATCTATAACAAACTTTCAATCCTTTGCAATTGCCTAGTTCAACTAGTCATAGCCATACCAATCTTGCTAATCTATTTTAAGCCATGCAACGTCGGACTGCAAGCTGACTGGGTCGCTTATCTCACAGTCGGTCTTCTGGGGCTTATCAATGGTTATGGTTTGTGTGCTGCAATGATGCTCCTCTCACCTGGGAAACCAGAAAATAAGCACGAGGAAGGCCTGGCAACCAGTATTGGGTACATGTTCCTGCAAATGGGAATTCTGTTGGGTATGGGTACATCGGTGTTCCTTGTTGACTACGTTTTTGAAATAACTAGACATTAAGAGGCCTCCAAATAAACATAAATGCGACAACAGTAGCTATGTACTAGGCATTTAATAACCAGTTTCTATTTACTTCGTATCTGTAGTGAGAAGACGTTCGAGAAGATTTTTGATCCCAGTTTCCTTTATGCCCTCTAACCCTGAGCCTCATTTGAGGACGTAAGAAACTTAACACGACAAGAAACTGGAGAAAAAATGAGTTCGCCCTCGACGAGTTTAGATAGTCCATGTATAGTTGAAACATCTTTCGCATGTTTGGAGTAGCAAGACACAACATTTTCAAGGGCAACTAGATAGGCATTAAATTCTGTTTAATGAGAACATCATGAGACATTGTTTGTGATACATCAACAAATACGAATTAAAGAAAACTTAACAGATTAATGTTGTAGCAGGTTTTCGTTAGCAACGGTAGTGGGTTGTGGTGTGTGCAAAGGTGTCTACAAAATTCTTATTTTAATTTGCAAGACTTAACTTTTTTAGCCACCGAAAAACCTAACCTCAAGGAAAAAATAAGAACGCTTAGTTTATACTTGTATCGAGAAAAAAACGTAGCCTAATCCAGAAAATAGAAATGTTTTGACAGGCAAGTCAAAACGGACCAACAAAAACGTCCCATTCACCATTTTGCACATTGCCCAAATACGCCTTGTTTCACACCCCAAAATTTTGTTTTTCTCTTGGGACGCCTGTTATATTCAATAGAAATTGGGAACAATGTTAACGTCCAACATCTGGAGGGAAGGAGGGGGAGGGGGGGGGGGGGTTAAACAAGGTGTATTATGGGCAGCTTAAAAATGGTAAGTATCACAGCAAACGTATATTAAGTCACATGTCTCATGTAGCGTTGTCCAGAACTTCAGCTTTTCTCCTCTGTATCTGCAAAAAATATGTATAACTTTGATAACTAACGATTTTTTTTTTCCAAAATACATTTAGTTAAGCCACATGCTATGTCCATGTATCTCTGACAACTGGAAGAAAAACGTTTGTTTTGCACTATCATGGGTAGTTAGTTACGTGATTGATACAAACTCAAAAGAGCTTCACTTAGCAATAAATAATGGTAACTGATCTGAGTGGAGTGCAAACAGGAAGTTGAATTACCACTTTACTACATCCATTTTGAAATCGCAGATTTCAGTCAGTACCAATAGGGAACAAAAAGGCTTTCGAAACAGAAATGATGCAATATAGAGCAAAAATGGTGCGATTTCAAAAAGAAGAGACGCGATTTAGAACAGATGTGATTTAGAACAAAAAATAGTGCGATTTGTGAACAAATTACACTGCTAAGAGCCAATCAGATTGCAGGGATCACCAGTGATTTCAAAATGGATATAATAAATACATTTATATTAGTTAATCAAAATATTTCTCCATTTCCTTCGGTTAATTTTCCACAACCAGCGGACGCTGACCAAATTCGGAAGATGTTTGCTGATATATAGCAATGCAACTGACGTCAATGGAAATGATAATTAATAGACACAAATACACAGATGGCATCTGCCAATTGAAGAATCTGCTAGAGTGTCTGCCGGATAAACATCCTGAAATTGTCAACCGGCGAATGTTTTATAGCTCTACATAGGGATAGCCATGTATTTAAGTTGGAAATATATCTGAATGAATGTTAAATTAAAAAATTGGATACGGCTTTCGAGGACTTGAGCAGACCTAGTAGTCGGCCGATTCGCCTGTGAACAGGCTCACTTGTCCGAGTATACGTATACGTGGCGTGGCTCTGGACTGGGTTAGAAGCTACCTCTCCAACAGGTTGCAATTCGTTCAATTTAACGGTCAATGCTCCTCTCCTCAAACTATCTGCTGTGGTGTCCCCACAGGGATCCATTTTGGGCCCCTTGTTTTTCTTGCTCTATATTAATGATTTAAATAACGTATCGACGCTCGTCGAGCTGATTTCATTCGCTGATGATACTAATTTATTTATGTCCCATAAAGATCCTGTCTACCTGGCAGCCTCACTCAATTCCGAACTTAATAAATTATCCACTTGGTTTAAGGCAAACAAACCCTCCTTAAACCTGAAGAAAACAAAGTTTATGTTATTTAAGCCTAGACAGAAAAGGTATCATTTTCCAATGCAAATATGCATAAATGAACAGAGAATCTAACAAGTTAAGGAAACGCTCTTCCTCGGTGTAGTCCTTGATGAACATCTGTCTTGGAAACCGCACATTTCTCAAGTAGCTCGTAAAATCTCGAAATCAATAGGTATCATTAACAGAGCAAGATTTTTCTACCTACACCCTGTCTAAAAACTCTTTATTATTGTTTAGTTTATCCTTATCTTCATTATTGTATTATTGTCTGGGGATCTACGTACAAAACCAATCTTCGCCGTCTTATCTCTTTGCAAAAGCGAGTTATCAGAATTATTTCTAAATCAACTTTCGATTCTCATTCAGACCCTATTTTCAAAGAATTAGAGCTATTAAAAAAATTTCCGATATTAGACAGCTAGAATTGGGTAAACTTATGTTTTCTCTTAACCATTCTCTTTTGCCTTCAAAGTTCAACAATTATTTTTCTTTAAACAAACAAGTCCATAGTTATGCCACTAGACACGCGAACGATTTTCACCTTCCTTCTTGTAGAACAAACCTTCGTAAATTTTCTGTCAGTTTCTAAGGACCTACTTATTATAACTCTATAGAAAATGATATTAAAGAGTCTAATTCTCTCCACTTATTCAAAACGAAATTGAAAAAAAAATTGTATATGAATTATTAGTTATAAATCTAATAGTAAATAGTTATATTTCTTCACATATCTGATATTATTTTTATACTTATTGTTACATGTACCAAACCTTATATTTTTTCAACTCAGTCTATGTAATTAGTTAATTTATACTTACCTTCATTGTATTTTACTTTCGATCCTGGCCTTACCGTTACTGTTAACTTTATTTTTACTCTGAGGGAGCCCAATGTCTATAAGCCTCATGGTTTCTTTTTGTGCTTCCTCGCCACTTTCATTTGCTTTTGTGTAACTGTCTTGTTTTATTGTTATTTGTATTTTGTGGTAAATCAAATAAAGTTACAAAGTTACAAAGTTTGGGGAATTGAAATTTTAGCGGCGCGCTATTTCTCGCCTTATTCTTCTCGCCGTCTTTGCCTTTCCGCGCAGCCAAAATTTTCCACGAACTCGCACAAAAATTTTCCACGAACTCGCACAAGTAGGCCTGCTTGCAGGCTATCGGACGATAAACACCCTCCTCGATCTGAATAATTCTTCAAATCATACGAAAGCCGAATACAACAGTTGTGATCAGTGCACAGTGATCACGGACGCCTATGCGGAATTTGCAGCATTAACACAGGGCACTAAGTTGTTCACCACTCGCCTTTTTCATCCTCATCCTCCTCCTCTTCTTCATCTTCCTCTTCCTCTTCGCTCGATTCAAACGTGTTATCAGGAATGTCGTATATTCTAACCACACCCTGCAAAGTAACGAACTCTTTTTACAAGGCCTGCACCGCCTTTATTATTTATCATCATTATAACTATGTACCTTCTTGTACTTTATTGTTTTTGAATGTACAATTGTAAATCTCGCTACGTATAGGCAATTTACAAATGCTGCTTGAGATTGGATTATTCAAAAAGAAAAAAAGAAAGAAAGAAAGATAAAAGAAAAGAAATCAAAATTACATTAAGTCTGGGCTATCCCAACTCCTATTTCTGCAACAAAAGATGCAATATGTTGCTCTACATGGCTATATTTATCATTTTCTTGATTATATAAAGTTGCTGCTTTTTGTCAATGCCAATGTCATTCATCATGTCTAAGAACGTGGAGCATTCATCGGAGAAAACGCCAAGGGAGCTCATGAAGAGATGTACAAATTTCACAAATCTGTAATTTCTACTCATTTCTTTGATCAAGTTCAGATATTTTTCTTTTTTACGCACTGCATTGTTATTAAGGTTAGACTCGAAACCAACTGTTAATGCTAGAACATATAAGCACTTGCACTGGATTAGGAAAAGAAGATCTGGACGACAATTTTCACCAGTTATTATTAAGGGATTCAGAAAACCATGAACATCTGCACAGAGTGAAGAGTGAACATTAATTACGGGTTGAAGTGGCTTGGCAATGAAGTTAATGATCGAGTCGTGTCTCCAGGTAAAGCGACCAAGGTACTGTTGACAACCAGCGACAACATGAAGGAGTGATTCAGGATTAAGGCAAAAAATGCAATAATAATAATAATAATAATAATAATAATAATAACAATAATAATAATAATAATAATAATAATAATAATAATAATAATAAGTTATAAGTAATAAGTTATTGTTGCTAGAACTTTCACCTCTGGTTATTTAATTGCTCTCTTTTTTAAAAAAGGGTTGGTTTTGCCGGAGTGCCCCAGATACCTCTTAAGGTGACTCGACCCAGTTTTTTTTTTTTTTTTTTCACGAATGCTCACCGAGATATGATAATTTAGCATAAGAAAATAGAAGGGATTCCCGTCACGAGCTGGTTTAATTATTGGCTTGCATTAAACCTTTGAAAAAATGATATTTTTTTAATAGTAAGTAGATTTAGTGTGTAGCACTTCTTGATTTTTTTGCAAAACCTCTATGTATCACGCGATGGCCTGTCTCACTGTACCAAAATTATCATATCCGGTGAGCATTCGGAAGTCAGCCAAGCGCGGTCATTGCACGCGTGCTGAACAAGAATGCTGTATCATGACAGACTAGAAACAATAGACAACTCCCAAAGCACAAACTCAGCCAAAACGCTAAAAATCTTCAATGTTTACTCAAGTTTGGGCTTATAGAAGATAATGTCACAGTTTTTCAATGACCATGAAATTCAGAGTCCGGGTAGTTAGTTAATCAATTGTGGCCCTGAAAAAATTTGAAGGAAAAAAAACTACGAATTTTTAAGAAAATGCTTTTTTCGTGAGAAGGACTCTTAAACGCTGACAAACGTCAACAAATAGCGAAAACTATAATTTCTATATGTTTGCTTTGCTCGAAATCGCGCGCATTTACAAGGCCCTAAAGCGTTTTGCTGACTTGCAAGGACCCATCTGTTATAACGATGCCCAAAATAAAGAGATGAATCTCATAGTTTATTAGATATAATCCGTGTAAAGTTTGCTTATCATTTTCGCATAAATTATGACCTAAATTTGGAAACCGCTGAATTTCTCGAATTGGGTCTTTGCGATTTTGGTGAAACTCTGTTCAGCGCAAGGCACTAATGCGCACTATGTGTAGCCGAGAGATTTTCACGAAAAAATGCCGGCAACAGCAGATTTTCGACTCAGACCTCAAAGGGGCGTGGCATTATAACCACGTGACATTTACTCCGATCGCCAAAAATTTTATTTATATTGTAGATTGATCTATATGTTATCCATTCTACGTGTTAGACTTACGATAAAAGCAAAGGTGGGGATACCAGAGAGCTTCAAAGTAGGATGGTACCCCCCCAAAAAAACTGGGTCGAGTCACCTTAAGGGTCAACGCCTTTATCACTTGCCTTCAAGAGCCCTCAACGCCCACCCTT